ACACATTCATCATATCGTCTTGTATCTATTTATTATAAGCCTATACCATAAGTTTCGGAGTATGTCAGCATCTTTCTTACATTCTTTTTAATCATAACGATTTCTTTATTTAACAAAATTTTTTTCACTAAAAAAAAGTGATTGATTAATAGATATTTTCCTTTTTAAGAAAAGATTTATAAATGCTACGATTTGATTTTAGTTAAAGGTTATTATTGATTTTTCTTATAACATACGTTTATATGATAAGATTCAGTATCAACTGAAGAGCCTTCTTTTACATCTCAAAATCGTACATATTGTATCTAGCGACCTAGTAAACTTCTCCAGCGACTTCTTATCTGAGAATAAATATCTGCAGTTTTCTTTAAATTGAACTTGCTCTCTAAGATAGAGACACGTATGTAGTGGCACTACTGCATGATGTAGTTCAATCTTATCACAAGAAACAGACAGAGAGGTAATATTGAATGTAATTTAGTGAATAATCGCAATTATCAAGGCTATATTTTTCGAAGAACATAGCCCGTACACACTGACGTTGAAAAAGAATCTAACTATCTGTTAACTCTAATTATGGTTAAATATAGGCACCCATCATTATTTGATAATCAGTTATTACTTGCCTTTTGACTAGCTTGATTCATGATATAATTAAGTTCAATTTCATATCTACATAAAGCATTAATTAGATTGATACATGAGTCAATGTTGTATTGCATTAGAGAGAGGTATCTAGTTATTTTTTAATGGTAATTCCTCTTCAGGAATTTCTTATCAAAACGTGAAGAAGAGAGATCATTCATAAGAAACAATTGATACACTGCCTTGCTCTTAATGCTATCTTAAAAAACGTGCCACTGTTTGACATTTTCTTGCAGTTTTGTAGGAAAGTCAGTTTCCTGTCGCAGATAAAAAAATATCTAGGCGGATAAATACAAAATAGAATAAGCCTCATTAAAAGAGAAACAACTCAGACAATCGTATTGCATTTGTTGAAATTAGTATTATTGGTACTATGACAACTTGTTCTCAAATTGAAGATCAACTAAAAATTTTCTCTCATATGATTGTTAAAAGTTAGCATGATTTTTTTCTAACATAACCTTTATTATCCTATCTTCATGATTACCGCAAGCTCTGTCGATAGTCATGAGTGCATCACATATGTTTGATAATGAAATATTTCAAATGTGGAAATAAGAAAACTATACAAAGAGTGATCAATGAAAAATGTCTACTTTTCGATACATTTTCATTTGCATCGGTATAACATTTTTACATTTACATCAACCAAATAATAGAGTGCTTTAAAATAGTTTACACATTTTCGTAATCTATACGTGGGGGAAAAAGTTCTTGTGATAAAATTTAGGATTCACAACTATTTCACAACATCTTTAAATGCTCCCACCATGTATATAGAATGATTTGAGCTATTATACTATGTCTTGCTTTTACGCCTGACCAGTTTCCCATCATTTTTGTAGGATGGATTAGCACTGGCACCATGGCAACTCCGCGCTTTTCTCATCAAGTTGTCTTATTAAAAAATGGTACGGTACTAGTTATCGGTGGATCGCACGGTATCCTTGATAGTAAGGTTACAGAGATATATAATCCATTAACAGAAACTTGGAGCATAACTGGTAGTATTAATATTGAACGCGATTCCGCTGCAGCATCTGTATTAGCAGACGGTAGAGTGCTAATTACTGGTGGATGGAATGGTACTGCTCCAATCAAAAATTCAGAATTATATGATCCGTTACCAGGAACGCGGACAATGATCTGTAGTATGAATTATGTGAACTATTTGCACACAGATCTATATTAACCAATGGTGAAGTATTAGTTACTGGAGGATATAATGAAACATCAGCTATAAGTAGCTCAGAATTGTATAATCCATTAACAAAAATATGGACAACGACTGGTAGCATTAATATTGCACGCTACCTCCACACAGCATCCGTATTAACAAATGGTAAGGTGTTGGCTGCCGGTGGATGGGACGGCAATTCATCTTTAAATAGTGCAGAATTGTACGATCTCTTAACAGGAACATGGACAATGACTGGTAGTATGCGTGATGCACGAAGTGCGCACATAGTATGCTTATTAACAAATGGTAAAGTGCTAGTTGCTGGTGGATGGACTGGCAAATCAGTTCTAGTTAGTGCAGAATTATATGATCCATTAACAGAAACGTGGGCAGTGACTGGTAGCATGAATTATGGACGCAATGCACACACAGGATCCTTATTAACGAATGGTCAAGTACTAGTTACTGGTGGAGCAACTGGTGCATCAACCTTAGATAGTGCAGAATTATATGATCCATTAACAGGAACATGGACAACCACTGCTAGTATGAATTTTCCACGCTGGTTTCACACAGCAATCGTATTAGTAAATGGTAGAGTATTAGTTACTGGTGGAGCAAACGATACGATTATCTTATCTACTTCAGAATTATATTGACGATCTCAATAAAATTGATATTTTGATTCTTATGCTTTTTTAAGTATCTATTCTTGCTTGCAATAGTTATTTTAATAAACAGAATTGTTCAATTTCAATAATAAATCCATTCTCTCAAATCTTTTTGCTAGATTTGTGAATGCTCAAGGCGTCTGTATGTGGAGTGGAAATATTTTCATGGATATGGATGCCAATTTGAACGATAGCTACATCGATATAGAGGCTACCTTGCATAGACCATTTAGGTTATTGAGCTTATATATTGATAAGCTGTTTTTTTATAGAAAGACGCGCTACAGTTTTCGATATTCTCTTTTATTTATATATAAGCATTCATAATTGTATGCGTTGATGAAGAGTTGATTGATGTATATTGTGGCAGTCATTTCATTTATGTAATTTTAGTTTGAGTTAGACCTCAAGCAGACTAGAAAAATAAAAGTCAGTTGATGAGCATTACTGATATTTAACAAGATGCAATCATTCATATCATCTAGTTCTATTTTAATAGATCTAATATGTTAGAATCTTATTCGGTTTTCGATGACGACTCTTTGTCAATATCAAAATACAGTTAAATCAAACTTTTTCCTCACTATTTGTTTTGGTATTTTTCTATAATATTTCACCTAATCTAGTCAATACAGTTGATAGTGAAATGAAATCGTGGACGGATGATGCTTGATGACAAAACGAAACCAATTTGTGCAATGTTACCATATATATCAGTATTACGTTTTATTTCTTTTTTCTAGCTTCAGTTTTAGGCAAACGCCTATGACGAAGTTGTCTATTATGTTGACTAATGAAGTCAATACCTCTATTAGAAACAGAGACATAAAATCTTACATGTAAAACGACTGTGAGAGGTGTAATAATGAACTCAAATATTGGCTTTAAGTAGAAAAAAATCAGAATATGATATTGACTTCTATGAAGAGAATTGTGTTTTTGGTACTTCTTTTCGACTAAAATTTATATTTCAACATAAACGTTGTATACTCCAACCATGTGCTCCACAATAAGACAAGAAGTAACTCAATTACATCTCACCTGAAAATCATGATACGTAATTCATGACTCATATTCACAGTCGATCTCGTCTTGATACTAAAAGTCGTAAGAGAAGGCATTACCCGGGCAGACAACAAAACGGCAAAAACGGCGTTTAAACGTCTCAACATCTGAACTATTTAAACAGTGTCATTAGTCGCCAAAAACGCGTTAAAACAGTTTATGAAAAATTAACTTTTAACACGTTTTACATGTTTAAACGCTTGGAGTCATTGAAATTGTAACTGTTTTAACGCGTTTTTGGCGACTAATGACACTGTTTAAACAGTTGAAATAATTTCCCTTGTCACGCCTCTTAATGATCAACAAACGTTTCATCTAAACGATGAAGTATCGAATAATTTATAACTAAATTTTCTTCTCATTGATAAACTGATCGATTATATTCAAATTATCATTAGATTAATGTTAAATTGACATATGTTTATAGTTTATACTTTGAAAACAGTCCAGAGAATTTATCTCTCATCAGTTCGTTTCTTTTTATGTTAAGAGTAAGTGTATATTTTACTATTTACTTATTGATATTTTTTTCTTTTTGTTTTTTTTCAATAGTGGAAAGAAAGATAAAAAATGTAGGTTTAATCGAACAGCATTAACACCTAGTCATACCATTCCACTATTAGAAAAAAAACAAAAAGAAAAAAATACCAACAAGTAAATGGCAAAATGTAAACTTACTCTTAACATAAAACGAAACGAACTGACGAGAGATTTAATTCTCTGCACTGTTTTCAAAGTATAAACAATAAACATATGTCAATTTAACATTAATCTAATGATAATCTGAATATAATCGGTCAGTTTATCAACGAGAAGAAAACTGAATTATTTCCATTCATGTTTCAAATAAGTGACGGATAAGATAGACTGATGAATAGATTTAAAATAGTACGACTAACACAGGAGTTGATAAAAAGGCAAAGCACGGACTATCTAACCAGCTTCTAGTATAAGGAAAACTACAATCGGAACTACTATGGTAGACAGATGTTCTTTTCAAGTATCATTAATAAATTTAACTTCATTTCGATCAAATTCTAAAATATCAAAGTACGGAGATATGGTATAACTAGAAATGTCATCAACGCACTACGAAATCTCATAATTAGTGTGTATTAAGTCGGTCGCGAAATTGATTAAGGCACACCTATGCATCAGAATGCTATCTGCTTTTTCCTGTAGTGACGATATTTCTTTTAAAGCTCATTCATATTTCGATGACTTAAGATTCCCTTTTCATCGAGTAGAAAACTCAACTGTTTCAAACGTCGCATATGTCACACGTACTCGTGATGAACATTATATATGAAACATTTCAAGTGAGGAATATTTAATGGACCCTGCTATGTTTATCGTCTGCGAGCGACTCTGCTAGTTGTATTGTCATAAGTATCGTACATGTTATGTCTAAGTCAACACTAACCTAGTGAATATTGAAGTATTTTTCACAGAAACTCACTATTAATAGCCATGCAGTAAGTGTCCTATTCTTTCTCTCGTTCTGAGTGATTTCCGCAGAAAAGAACTTATCTAATTCGAACATATCCAGTCTTACACAAAAGAAGTATGTGCCATTACATATAGTGAATTTAACATTAATTTTAAGTATACGTTAGAAATAAAATGGCCTACTCAGTTAGGCAACTATGTGAACGAAACAGAACACAAATGAATTCCAAATGAAAAGAACAGACGAATAATCGGACGAGAGAGTGATAAAAGAATGACCTCTTTTTTCCTTTTTCTGTGAACTGGACGGACGGAAAGAAAAGACAGAATGGAAAAAATTTCTTGCAAATGTGGACTGATGATAACTCTGTTTCTACGTGACGATGATAACTAGATGAAATATACAATAGTCAAGTTTTGAAACTTTTATTGAAACAGCTAATCTCTATGTCATTTTTTAATTATAACCTATATGAGAACAGGATAACTTGTTTATCTTGGTTAAACATGATTGTTGCCCATACGTACTTGCACTTTTAAAAGAAAAATAGAGAAGATTATGATTATCATATAATCTAAGAAGGAAGGAATCGTTTATGTTGTTAGTATGATATACTAACATGTAATAACATTAATGATGATTTCCCCCTTCCATTTAGTTTCTGAGCGTTAACAATATTTGTCTGCACTTATTATAATTCACAAAATACAACTGAGCTAGAATTAATCTTCTTAAATGTGCAGTAAAATAAACCAATATTGGTTAAGATGATGTTATAATATTCATTGAACAAATCACTATAACGTTAATTGTCTACACGCTGATTGTTAAAGATATTCAGCATGAGATGTGCTGCACGCCTATTTCTGTTAAGCAAATCAGTTTATGGCAGTTACTCTGCGGCAAATCAAAGATAAGCCTTGTTACATTCTCATCAGATATTAACACCGAACAATATTTGTCTTAACGGTTTTCAATTGACAGTGGAATATTGCTGAGTAGATACACTGGCAATACATCAATATAGAATATGTAAACTCACTACGCGAAGTATTTTCAGTAAGATCGTTATACTGCTATCAATTTTGACTTCGACTTAATGACAATAAAAAAATTTTCTTGATTTAAAATTTCTGTTTGCTAATAATAAATATCGGACCTGATTCTTTGCTGTTTATTAGGAAAAGATATATGTTCTAACCATCAGTTGCCTGTTACTTATAAACAACGAATTGTAAAACTTATTACTTACTAGAAAGTAACCAGACTGATTACTCACTATGTTGTGTTACATGATTTAGATACATTCAAACAGGTATAACTATTACAGAATAGTTAAATTAAAAATTTACTACTCATTAGTAACAGATTAGTAGCGCAGACTATCACCTACTAACAACTAGTTAGTAACGATGCACATGATTTACTGACAGCATAATAATAAAATTTTTGTAGTTTTGATTGTTTTTTTGGTAATCGAAGCAAAACGGAAAAATACTGTTAAAACGTTTTTTTTTCGAAAAAAAACACGAAATTGGGGCGTTTTTAATGGTTTTGTCAAATTTAGTTGAAAATAAACTGTAAAAACGATTTAAAAGTGAAAAATTCAGTCGTAAACGCGTTTAAACGAGTTAAAACGGTGTAAACGCTTTTTTAACGCGTTTAAACGCCTTTCTGGCCGTTTATTGTCTGCCTGGGTATTCTAATAGTATAAAAAAAGAAAAGAAAATGCTTTACAGAAGTAAACATTATCTTCAAAAAGTTCTATTTCTGCAAGACTGCAGTAGATCATATGAAGGAAGAACAAAACAAATAAGTAGAGATATATTCTGTTAGATCGAATGGATAGACAGGACAATATTCATTCAAAGATAAATACAACGACGAATGATCAAGCATTGTTCGTATATCTAAATTAGATTGACAATAAATATCACTTTTTTCAATAGCTTAAGCGAAAAGTTAGTTTTACATAGTCAAACAAATATTTGTTCCTCTTTGTAAAGTTGATAAAAATACAAAGAGTCAAAATATTGTGTATATATTCACATAAGTTCAATTCATTATGTGTGCAAAAATGCGTTATTATTTTTCGGTCATTCATCTTCAGCTAAGAAAATTTACCAAATTGTATCTGTCCAATCAAGAAATAACATTTGAAAAAAAAATCAACTATCGAAAAATGGGATATGATAGTCAATTCCAAAAATAAATTTTCTATTAATGAAAATGTGATAAGAAAATTGGACGCGTCCATTTTATAAAAACTCGAGCATTATCTTAAACAAAGTTAAGAATATATATTAAATGACATACTCAGTACAAACTTCGTTTCAAGCAAAATTCTGAGTTCCTACCTTTGATGGTTCTACCTAAGCCTTTTATACAGTGAAAATAGTGATGAAAGTACATGATACTACTTCACTTGGATAGTACAACTATATAAATGATTTAGAAAAATGTCAAACTATAA